ACCTCTCTCTCTGTCTCTACTTCTCTCTGTAACTCTTTCAAAGAAATAAAATAAATCTTAAAAAAAAAAAAAAGGCAGGGGTGGTGACATTGTGTCTAAGCAGGTCAGCCTACAAGTCCAGGAAACATATGGGCATTGGTTCAAGTCCCAGCTGCTCCACTTCCAAACCAGCTCCGTGCTAATGTTCCTGGGGAAGCAGTGGAAAGATGGCCCAAGTGCTTAGGCCCCTGTACCCACATGAGAGACCTGGAAAAAATTGTTGTCTCCTGGTTTCAACATGGCCTAGCCATGACTGTTTTAGCCATTTGGGAGTGAACCAGTAGATGGAGTCTCTCTCTCTCTCTCTCTCCCCCGCCACCTCTTGTGTGTATGTGTATGTGTATGTGTGTGTGTCTCCCTCTCTCTCTGTGCCTTTCAAATAAACAAACAAAAAAAACTTTTTAAAAAGAGTTTGGTAGAATTCTTCACTGAAGCCATCTTGTTCTGGAATATTCTTTGAGTTTATTACTGCTCCAATCTCAGTATTCTGGGTATATTCAAGTTTCCTGTGCCTTCAAGTGATGGTTTCTGTAACACTTCAAAGAAGATAACATAGTTGTGGGCTGGATTATCTGGGGAAAGTGTGGCTAAATGCATCTTGTGCAGGTGATGGTGTCTTATTCCTAAATTCCCTCCTACTAGAACAGTCAAGGTACTTAGCATATACAATGTGTTTAATAAACATTTGCCCCCTTGAAGGACTTTTATTTGAGTTAGAAATCCCAAAGATGGGTAGGATTTGTGTGGGTCAGATGAGAGGGTACTTTCTTGGTGAGAACAGAAATTTAGCAAATGCTGACATAAGTGGTTAAGCAATGGTGATTAACCCAGCCACTTCTCATGCAGGGTGGTAGTCAAAGTAAGTTTGGTTAGACATGGTCAGCCTCTGGAAGACATAATCACCTTGCTAGAATGAACTTAATTTCATAGGCACTGGGTGGTCACAGTCAGGAGAGAAGCAATGTTAAAAGAATGATAGTAAATAAGAATAATCTTATATAATATATATAAATATTAAAAGGTAAGGCTCAGAGAAAATCTATTATTGGATGTGAGACAATAAGAACTTCAACTGCAACTGTAGAAGGGAGATTAGAAAGGAGAAAACTCCATACTGCAAGTTATTTGCATACAGTATTTCATAAGCTTTCAGTGAGGTGGGCCTTCTCATTTTACAGGCAAGAAAACTGGGGTTCAGAGAGATTATTAGTGTCCTGTGTAACAATAACTCCAGCTAGGTTTTCCAGGATCCTAAGGCATGATCTTTTTGATAGGCATTGACCAACTGCAAAAGATCTAATGAGAAATGAGATGATTTCAAATTTTGATTGTAGATCAGAAAATAACAACATTATGGAGTAGGGAGAGCCAGTTTATAAAAGATAATGAATTTAGCTTTTAATACATCAAATTTGATGTAACATGCCAATGTACATGAAATAGAAATACGGATTTGGAACTAACTTACAGTAGTTACTGAAGATAAACATTGGGAAGTCAATTCAAGCAATGGTGGTAGATGATATATATTGTTTTAGGTACAAAAAGTAAAGGCTTAGAGTTTGGAAAACTCTAATGATAGGGTGAGAAACAGGAGCCAGTAAAGAAGACAAAAGATGGAATGAAAAAAAAAAAGCAGCAAATAAGAGAAGAAAAAAAAGCAGTGTTTGAAAAGTAGGGGGCTTATCAATGCCACAAATTCAGAGTTTCAGGTATTTATATTTAGATATATGTAGAAGGAAATAAAGGCTTAGAGTTTGGAAAACTCTAATGATAGGGTGAGAAACAGGAGCCAGTAAAGACTGCTGTGGCCAGGGAGTGCAGTGGAGGATGGCCCAGGTGCTTGGGCCCTGCACCCCATGGGAGACCAGGAAAAGCACCTGGCTCCTGGCTCCTGCCATCGGATCAGCGCGGTGCGCCGGCCGCAGCGCGCCGGCCGCGGCGGCCATTGGAGGGTGAACCAATAGCAAAGGAAGACCTTTCTCTCTGTCTCTCTCTCTCACTGTCCACTCTGCCTGTTAAAAAAAAAAAAAAAAAAAAGATGGAATGAAAAAAAAAAGCAGCAAATAAGAGAAGAAAAAAAAAAGCAGTGTTTGAAAAGTAGGGGGCTTATCAATGCCACAAATTCAGAGTTTCAGGTATTTATATTTAGATATATGTAGAAGGAAATAAGGGCTTCAATGACAAAGTTAAGAGGCTAATTGATTAGTCAGGGAGTAGGAAAACCTCAGTTGCAGCACTAGTTCTGTCATACAGCTTTTCGTAGTATTCTTTTGTAAACCCTTTTGTTTCTATAAATTCGGTATTAATATAGCCCTTTTTACTTCTGGTTTAATTAATTCAATCTAACTAAAATTCATCAAAATCTGTCCTATTTATCTTTCCAAATAATCACTTTTTAAAATTTTCTCCATGGTTTTCCCATTCTCTATTTCATTTATTTCTGTTCTAAACATTATGTCCTTTCTTCTACATTCTTTGTTCCTTTTTCTAGTTCCCGAGACATTTCATCTTTTTTAATGTAAGCAATTGCAGCTATAAATTTTCCTTGAAGCACTAGTTTCACTGCTTCCCACAAGTTTTGGTGTCTTTTTATTTTCATTCATCTACAAGTACTTTTTTAACTTCCCTGGTGAATTATTTTGCCCATGGGTTAAGTATATTGTGTAATTTTTACTTACTTGTGAGTTTTCCAGTTTTCCTTCTGCTTTTAGTTTTTTCTTATAGTGGCCAATGACTTCTTTTTATGTTTATTCAGATTTAATAACTTCTGTGCAATGTTTCATGTGTGCTTCAGAAAAAACATGTATTCTACTGTTGTTGAGCAGTGTTCAGTGCATGTCTTTTAGGTCTATTTAATTTACTGATTGTTCAAGTCCTCTATTTCCTTACTGATCTGTCTGGCTTTCTATCCATTATTAGGTACTGAAATCATCAAAGCATATGAGAATTTTTGCATTATTCTCTTAAATTGTTTCAATCCTGCTTATTGTATTCTGGGAGTCTTAGGTATATACAGTACTTGATCAATTCAATCTTTTATCAATATATAATGTCCTTGTCTCATACCCACTTTTGACTTAAAATTTATTTTCTCTGATAATGTCACCCCAAATTTTTATTTCCTTTCTGCCTTTTGCTTTCAATCTCTTTGTGTTTTTATCTAAAGTGTCTCTCGTTAAGATCATACAGATGTATATTTACAATACTAACAAATATTTATAATAGTTATACATAATAGTCAAAATTGAAAATGGTACAAATGTTCATGAATAAATTAATGCTTGTGCTATACAACAGAACACTATACAGCAGTGAAAATAGCTAAACCATAGCCACATACAATGACATGAGAATCTCAAGAACATAATATTAAGTGAAAGGAACAAATCACAAAAATATACTGATATCATTTAATTTATATAAAATTTAAAACTCAGAAAAGCCCAATGTTATTTTGTGATATATTCACAATGGCAAAATTATCAAGTAACATAAAGGGAAAGATCTATATGAAATTAAGTGCAGATAAAAACAACAAAAAAAGAAATTAAGTGCAGATAGTTTGGTACATAAGGTGTCTTTAAGGTACTGGCAATGTTTAATTTCTTAATCTGCATAGTTTTGGTTTTATTACTTTTTAGGCGGCAAATACATCATTTGTATACTATTGATAATGTAATCACATTTAGAAAAAGGCAAAATTTATAGCTGAATCTGTGCCATAATGCACAATTTTAATAACTGATTGCAGATGACCATTTCAAAGGGATATGAATGCAAATAGAGCTAATTCTAGGCTGAGCAGTTGAGAAGGAATTTGAACAGGCTGCCCTCTCCATATCCACCCTTTGTTCTTTCTTTTACTGTCTTTAAAGGAAATTCAACATTTTTAATTTCACTTCCTATCTACTATATTTTTCCTTTTCTCTTCAGTATGCTATATAGGAGGCAGTTAGTTATCAGCAGTGTTGCTTATTTCTGCCATTTTTTTTTTTATTTCAGTTTCCCTAGAGCTTTTCATTAATATCTTGTTCTATCGCTTCTCGGCCTTTTGGCTAAGATCAAGTGCATTAATATCTTGTTCTAACTTATAAATAGTATAGGTCAATTCAAATAGAATACACATGTATTATCACTGTTACTAAAATCACACTTATTACATTAGTAATTAGGCATTTATAGGTGCTTTTACCATCTGGTATTTTTTTCATGTTAATTTTTTAATACAAAGAGAACAGATTTAATGTTGTTCACAGATAAAATTCTAATAATATATTCTCTTCCTCCCTCTTTTTCTTTCCTTCCTTCCTTTTCTGAAATTACATATTTCAGAAATTACATATTTCAATGTTCCACTAAAAAAGAGTACAACAAGCAAAATGCCCCTAGTTTAGCAGAAATATTGCCAAGGGCTATAAACAATAATGAAATGAAAAGATGACCCTTCACTCATATGCAGAAAATTTTAAATAATCATGGCAGATACATCATATTTTTAACTCTTTCTGTGATCTCTCCCTTTTAGAGAAAACAGCACTTTGTCAAACAAGCACTATTCAAAAAACATCATAGGGCTGTTGAGAGAATTCAATATGGGAATGTGAAGACGTACAAAATACAACACATGGAACCTTACTTTAGGAAATACATGTTACTTGTTTTGTGAGCCATGTTAGTTAACATTACTTTTATGATGATTAAGGATTTTTTACATGGTGGACAAAAAAATTCAATTTTCCACACTTTTCTTGATCTTCATTTCTACCTACAAAACATACTTTTATCTTTAATATCAGCCTTAGTAGTCTTCTACCATAAGTAAGAGAAAAACATTGGTTTTATTTCAACATTTTATTGAACTTTTAATAGTACACAATTTATCCCAAACATTTAAAATGCCAGTAAGGCAAAAACAACTTAAAAAAAAAAAGACACAAACACAAAACACCTCTTCTAGCTGAGGTAATAATATCTAAGATTCATTATCAAAACACAAGTTTTTTTTTTAACTCTGCTATACAACTTGGTACCATTTCAGTGATACTCAATGACTCAAAATTAAGACATTACACATTCACTTTATGAGAAGGGTAGAGATTAAGTACAACTACTTTAAAGAGAAGAAAGAGAAGGCAGAAATGCTAACGTTAATTACCACTCAAATGCTAGTGCAATGTGAATTGCTACTGAGGGATTTCACTTGCTTAAAGATTTGAAAAGAATTCAAACCTGGCTATGTTTTGAAGAGCTGGCAGAGTAGTTTTTTCTGTTCTATCGGGGAACAACCAGAGGGCAAACATTCTCTATCTCGGTTGACAGAACAACTCACATTTCTTTCCCCGAAATTTTGTCAACAGACATATGAATACTTACATATGAATATTGAAGCATTTGTATCCAGTCAGTTAAGCGAATGATTTTTGCAACTATGACGAAGTCAGCGGTGAAGAGTTGTGAGTAGGCAGGCAAATCTGTTAAACTGAGAAAGTCCCCTCATCTCTCCAGTTTTGTTTCTAAGTAAAACAGCTAAGGTGTACATGCCCTGACCCATAACAATTTCTAGGTTAGCTATTTTACTCTTTCATACTTATAGTATCTAGTGCTGAGAGTTTGGAATTTGAATAAATAACTTTAATAACCTAGGGATTTCTTTTAAGGGCCTATGAAACAAAATTGAGAAAGGCAACTCAGCATAGTTTATATACACATATTTAGTAAAACAACTAATAAATTTATTTAACATAATAGGTTAATATTTATCAGGTTTTAGTTCAATTACTCTTAATCTATTTGACCCAAATTAAGAAGCCCTATCATGTAAGGCAAGCATATCAAAAGCTCCATGGCCTACTAACTCTGGTTTATTTAAGAAATTTATTGGGCCTGTGGAACTTAATAAATCTTATCCTTAACACTATTATTCATACTGAATTCAAAAATACTATACTGAACTATTATTACCTTAAGAAATGCAGCCAATAGATATTAGATATTGGCACCCCCATATGTAAAAAAAATTAGCAACTTTAAAAGGGAGATGGTGGTTATTTTACTTACTCTTGTAAAATAATTGAAATAATTTGGCTAGCTAAAACTTGAATGCTTGATTAATCAATATTTTACTTACCACTTTTCAATATTAGTTTTAATGTTAATTTTTGCTTTATCCAAAAAGACAGAAAATAAGACAAACCTGAATAGTACATGGTTCAGCCTATTGGAATGATTCCATATTGAAACAAATTTATCTAACTGTATGTCCATGCTAACTTCTAATAATATTGAAATATGAAATTTTTAGCTCAATAAAGAATCCACAGATTTTCATTAGTAAACACTTGATTCCATTCAGATTGTATTCTAGAAATTTCCTAAACCTTGAAATTTTCTGGCTTACTCTTGTCTGAAACCACCTTGATTATAATAAAAGTGAAAATTTTCCAGAAAGATGAATATATTACATACACATAAAATCATTTAGCAGTTGAGAAGAAATCAATTTAAAAACCATAATCTAAAAGAAGTTAACTATAAAATACTAAACATGATCAATATTTGATTTTATTTTCCCCCTTTAGTGCGGCTAAAATTAAAAAACGGAAACCTTATGTAGTTTCAGTAACTAAAATTCAAATGCACAAACTCAAGACAGTAGAGAGAATTGTTATTTTATGTTTCATACTTTTTGAATATTTTTTGTTCCAACATGATTAATCTCAAAAAGTAACCATTTATGTGACATTTAACAAGTAAACTAAATTTTGGTTTGTGTACATTCTAGGTTGGATAACATTAGTGCAAAGTCTCAGTGCTTCAGAGAGGTAAACAGTTTATATTAAAACAGTGATATTCAAATAAAGAAATGACATTTTAAAATGTTTAATGATAGGCCAAACACATATTATTTTACTATAAAAAAGAGTCTAACTCTTCAAATTAAAATTTAATTGAAAGAACTTTTTTAAACTACACTGATTAAAAAAAATTGTTTTTCCTTATTTGTTGAAATATACATTTTGCTCCTCATCCAGACAACACAAGGACAAATTTCCCTTAAGGTTTGCATTTTTTCTTTAGTATTCATCTAACCAAATTTAAAAGGTGTTAAGGATAACTTCCATTTTCCCTTTATGAGAATCTAGAGGTGAACAAAACTTTAAGCAAAACCTGAAAGAAAATAAAAAGTGAAGCCATTATTTAATAATGACTCTACAGTAGAAAAGGCACAATTTGCAGGTGAATTTTAATTTTGTTCTTCTAAGACAAGTCATTCAGAAATGAAAGGCAAGTGAGGTTCCAAGTACACAATTTGTAAATGTGAAAACAGTAACAGTTGTCATGATTATACTTCCTCTTATGACTGGTTCTAAAAATCGCTTGACAATTCACTTAAATAGCTAAGCAAACCAATCTGTATAAATTTATATCAAATTTTAAGCTGCTGGCGTGGAAACACTGAGTTTGGAGATGGACAGGTGTGCTATTTTTGACTTAAATTCTGGGGGCACCTTGGCTTTTGATGTTTTATTCTGATGTTCAAGCAGAAAGCATATAATTTCATTTTATGCAATAAGCTGACCTAAGAATACAGAATTTGTAAGAATGAAGGAAATTCCAAGTTATATGTTAGTGCATAAATGGCTTTATATAATACATGTATAATGGCCATGAAAATATTTATAAATGCAATTTAAAACCTTTGCCTCCTGCTTACAGATTGCCAAATCTAATACTCTTTTTCAATGATGACGTGACTGATTTTTTAAAGGTAAAAACTGATATTACAGGCTATATTAAAGAGATATCAGTATCAATCTAGAAGGTAAAATAAGCATGTAGCAAATATGAAGGTCAGAAAGATTACACTCTGAAATTTTTTTACATTGATGATAAATTTTTGCTTCTGCCCTGTATAATTATTTCAGCATGAGTGCTACAATAGCTAAAATTTAAATTATACATGTGTTATTTTTATTTAGCTTCCAAATCTTCAATAGGTTTGATCCAAAAGGAAAAAAAAATACATATCTCTTTAAAAAAAAAAAAGTGTCAACATAATCTGAATGGGCTTTGTCTGCCAGGTTCACTTCCCACTCCATTTTCCCCCCAGTCTTTCATTTTAGCCCTCATCAGTTCATAGCAAATTGTCCAGGTACACCTTCTGGACTAGCCAGTGATGAAACATAATCTCAAACACTATTCTGAAGAAGTGTAGAGTAAATAATTTTGGTAATCTGTAAGACAGCTGCATGCAGTGTATACTGTATTATAACAGCACCAAACCCTTTATAAAAACCAAGCACTCCTTCCTCCTGCCTTATCGTATTGATGCAGTCTCTCATTCCCTCATACTGCGTATTAATTGGAAGTACTTCATAGCCCAGGTCTGTATTGTCAATTATTGTGCGTGTTCCTTGAATGTGAAGGCGGTGCAAAACTGTTTCCAGTGGGTAAAGTATAACGTCAGAGCAAAGACTGGCAGCAAAGTTAGCAATAAGTTCTGGAAAGTAAGCATCCAACATATTCTGCACGGGGCTAGTGTTCTCAACTAAGTGGCTATTATAAGTCTTTCTCTTTAGAATCAGGAGAACAAACTTCTGCACGATTGAGCTGATGATATAATGAAGAACGCCATGCAGCACCGTGGGGAAGACCAAGGAAAGAAGCGGAAGAAGTCGTTTGCTATGAGGCACTCCCAAGCCTATCACTCTTCCAATTCCTTCTTTAATACATTCCAAAATGCCGGTATTATCTCGAATTATTTCACTCTGAAATAAAAATTATGAAATAAGTAAATATTAACATTTGCTATTTTGCACAAAAAACCAGAACTCTTTCTTGGTGTCTTTTAAGTCCTAATCTATTGACTACAAGGAGAAAACAAGAATGGTTTGCAGGAAGCAACTGTCATCTACACAGTGGCTTCTTTTTCAAATAAAATACAGTGAGGTTGAGGGCTATTCTTATAGGGGTTCGGAGCCTGGGGAGGAGGTAAGGAGGCAGACACAGTTGGTTTCCCCAATCTGAAGAAACTCCTTAGAACTCATTTGTAAAAGTACACACCTCAGGATGCCTCAAATGGGTTTAAATCCCGCCTCTATTATCTGTTACATTCCAACTGGCAAGTTACCTAACTTCTCCTAAGTGTCAGTTTACATCCTATAAACATGGAAATTAGCGCCACCTAACTTTTGTGCAGAGTCACATTAAGTGAAAAAAGAGAAAGGGGAAGGAAAGGAAGGGAAAGAAAAAGGCCAGGCACCCAGTACGTACAATAAATGTGGTCTTATCATCTGAAACGTCTGCTTTTTTCTTTCTTTTACAATTTGAGGAATACAAAGAAGTGGGTTGTAGAGATTGCAGAGGTACACTTAGGCAGGACTAAAGGACACGTAAAAGTTCACTTGGCTGCAGCAAAGACTTCAGAAGAATCAAAGCAAAATTAAAAAGGTAGCCAAAAGCCACGTCAAGCTTTACAGACCACTCTTAGAACTTTGGCTTCTAGTTAGATGCTTGGTCTTTAGCAGAAGATGGGTATGATACAATTCACGTTTTAAAATACTACTGGCTGTTGTGCAAAGAACAACAAAGGGAGAAGATGAGAAACCAGATAAAAAGTTACTGCCATCACCTAAGAAAGACATGGTAGTGGCTCAGACTATCTATTGGGCAGCAATGGAAGTAAAAGCATATCAATTGTGCTTTTATCCTAAAATCACAGTCAACAGGATTTACTGGTGGATTGCATTTGGGATGTGAAAGATTACTGTGATAAAGTGAGTTAATGATTTAGTTCACATGGACATCAGAGTTAAAATGATTCTTATCATTAAATGCACTCTCCCAGGATAATGAGTGTAGAATAAAACAGAAAGTGGGTCAAGAAATGAGCCTTAAAGTATAAAGGATTATGATGCTTAGGGGAGTAGAAACCTAAGAAGATTTTAGAAAAGCAGAAAAAGAGTAAAAAAAGAGTATCAGAAGTAGGAACTTGGAGCAGGAAGCAAAAAGGACGGATACTGAGTTAACACATAGACACAGACACAGACACACACACACACACACACACACACACACAAAACCCTATCACACAAGAGGTGCACTCACATAAATCATTCATTCAATTTTCATAAGTCAGTTATTAGAATATTATATCCATTTTACAGGTAAAAATTATTTATAAGCATTAAGAAATTTTTCTGAAGTCACAGATCTAATTTAAGTAGAGAAATGTGATTCCAATATGAGTGTTTCTCAAGCCAAAACTTGTTTTCCTCAAGTATTTTGCTATTTAGTTATTTTTCCTTAAATAATTATGCTCTTGTTATTTTTTCCATTATCTTTAAAATGATAACTGTAAACTCTAAAGCAACACACAAAGTGAACAGTATTTATTACATAATACTGAATGCAAGGGGAAAGTACATCTGTATTACAAGAGGTTAACTTCAATAACTGAAGCTAGTTCTAACAAACCAAAACAAAGATCAACAATGGGGCCAGAAAAGAAAATCAGTTGGAAAGAGTAATTAGAAGAAAGGCTTAGCCAGTGAGGGTTTTTATAGAAAAACGTACTTACACATACTGAAAAACTGATGTTGGAGGCAGAAGACAGCTTTATCAGTGGTTGGATGTTGTGCAAAAGTAAAGTTAAAATTATCATCACACTACAGTTTTAACTCATCTGTACCATTTCAACTAGACTTGCTGAATAAAGGGGCATTGGTGATCAAGGGAATGACATTTAATTCAATGAACTTGAAGCGCCACCATGTGGTTAAAATAGTAAAACAAGAAAACAATTTAAATTGCTACTGAGAATTTTTTTTTCATTTCAGTATTTTAATAACAAATTGTGCTACTGGGCTACTGGGAACTGCTTTAAATTTGTAGTTTGGTCATTCCTCCCTCTGCATGACTCCTGCATCCATGAATTCAACAACAGATGGAAAATAATTGTCAGAAAAAATTGTAATGAACATGTATAGATTTTCATCTTAATTATTCCCCCAGACAATTCACTATAACACTTCTTCCAGTGTTTACATAGGAAGATGCTTGCAGTTTATATGCAAATACTATGTCATTTTAAATAAGGACTTTGAGCCTTCACAGATTTGGTATTCATGGCAGGGCCCCAGAACCAATCCTCTACCAAGAGATGATGACTGCACATACCACAGGGAGAGTGTAAATGCTCTTTAAAAGGCATATTTTAAAAGAATGCTAATAAATTACCCATGGGAATCACTGGCTTGAAGTCTGGATGACTATACATGTTTATATTCAGATAAAGATTTGTTAATTTACTGTCATATAAGCCATAAATATCTCAGTTGTACACAAGGGCCTGCCTTAAAATGTTAGGAGATTTCTTTGTATTGAGAGCAAGGCACAGTTTGGATTCTGAGATATCTGAATGAAGAATATCACTGCCTATAATTTTTAATCATAAAAATAATTAAAGAGGGGCCAGTGGTGAGGTGTAGCAGGATCCCATATGGGTGCTGATTCTAGTCCTGGCTGTTCCTCTTCTGATCCAGCTCTCTGCTATGGCCTGGGAAAGCAGAAGATGGCCCAAGTGCTTGGGCCCCTGCACCCACGTGGGAGACCCAGAAGAAGCTACCAGCTCCTGGCTTTTGATCGACTCAAGTCATTGCTGCTGCCATTTGGGGAATCAGTGGATGGAAAACCTTTCTCTCTGTCCCTCTCTCTATCTGTAACTCTACCTCTCAGATAAATAAGTAAAACCTTAAAAAAATAATAATAATACTAATTAAGGGGCCAGCATTGTGGTGCAATGTGCTGGTTTGAGTCTCCACTGCCATACTTCCAATTCAGGCCCTGAAATGTGTCTTGGGAAAGCAGCAGAAGATGGCCCAAGTCCCAGGGCCCCTACACCTAGGTGGGAGACCTGGAGGCAGCTCTTGGATCCTGACTTTGGTCTGGCCCAGCCCTGGCAGTTGAGGCTCTTTGGGGAATTAACCAGTGGATGTAAGATCTCTCTCTCTCTCTCTTTCTCCATAACTTTACTTTTCAAATAAAACAAATCTTAAAAAAAAAAAAATTAAAATAAAAGTGTGACTTAAATGCAATGGAAATATGTACATCAGTAGTGTGATATATTTGTGGTATCTGTGACATAAACATTTTAAAAGGATACTATCAAGCATTTTTGCTAGAAAGACATACAAAATATACTGAATATTCCAGAAGATATTTTAACTAAAAAAAGATAACAAAAGGCAGCTCACCTGTACTGTTTCAATTAGACTTGCTGAATAAAAAGGCATTGCTATTATATAAGTTAGGCTGTAGAAAATAAAACAAATTTATTAAACAATATGCTTAATTCTAATTTTTAATATCTGCTTTAATATTTCAATATAGTCAAGTTAATATTATCTTAAGGTTTTCAACTATGAGGGGTCTTTAAAAAGTTCAGAGAAAATATGTCTTATGAAAAAATTATGCATGGATTTCAAAACCATTTTGCATCAAAACAAACATTTTAATTTTATTTTTCCCTCATTAATACTTAAAGATAATAACTTCAAAGACCTGTAACACAGAATGCTTTATTCAACAAAGATTAAAAAAAATTCAATAATAATACAGGGGCATCCTGCAAAGTAAAGATTTTATTTTAAGCCAGTAAAATAGAGGCTCATTTATGATTCACTGTGAACACTTACCTGTAGAGAGCTAATGCAATCTATAAATCTGATACTTAAAATTTAGGATGAGGGACCTATTCCAAAGTTTGCCTTTTCAGTATCATTCACACAAGTCCACTTTTCTGCTATTAGTCTTTTAGTGTTATCTATTCCCTTTTTTACCATCCAACAGAGCTAAACCAGCCTTCAATGTTGAGTAAAGTCCCCCTTTCATTTTTTTAACTAAAAACTGAGACTATACAACTTTGCAAAGTTGTTTCCTATCACAGACATTTGGACAGTAACATTACAACCTTGCAAGTGTTCAAAATAGGATTATTTAAAATAATATCAAAATGGGACTTGCCTAACCCTAGTGGATCAAGTCCTGGTAAGTAGTGATTTTCAAGGTGAATGGAACATCACTGAGTAATCATGAACTGGAATGTATAATAGAAGGAATCAACAAGATAGAGGATTTCCAACTGACAATCATAAAAAAAAAAACTTAAAAAATTGAAGAGTAAAATCAATGTCAGTAAGTTTTTGAGTTTTCTCATCCCTATATAAGTAAATTTGCTATCTTTGTTTAATACTAAAAATAAAGATCTAATATCTCTGATACAAAATGCTTAGACCAGAAGTGCTTTGGAATTTTTGCATATATATAATGAAATATTTCAGCAATAGTACCTAAGCCTAGAAACATGAAATTCATTCAAGGCCATATACTTCATACACATAGCTCAGCAGTAATTTAATACAATATTTTTAGTGTATGCATTCACTGCCATGAGTCCCAGGGTTACCTACTGAATTTTCTACCCGTGGGATCGTGTTGATACTCAAAAGGTTTCAGATTTTGGAGCATTTCCAATTTTCAAATTAGACATTCTCAATCTGTCATATAAATAATTTTCTTAGAGATTTGGGTCAGATGAATGAAAGCTCTGTCCTAACTTCCTAAGAACGTAAGAAAAATTTGAGATATCATTCTAGCTGATCAAAATGGTAGGATTTATTTTAAAGACCATATGTATGTCAACATCTTATCCCTATGCTCTGTGTCACTTTTCCTTTGAAGTTCTACTTGCACAAATATTTCACTGTTCTGATTTCCTTCACTGTATTGATTTAATAAGATTTTTCAGTTTTAATATGATAAAAATTAATGGAAATTTTCAATAAAAGTACCATTTTGATACTTACGATTTCAATAGAAGATGTTCTCCTATTTGTTTAGGACTCCATTTGTGTGAAACCTCCCTAAAACATAAAAAAGAAACTTAAATAAAACAAGGACCATATTACTTAAACTATCTTGTTTTAGCCTATTTTCTTCAAAAAGGTAACCAGATTCTAATACTGTTTTAATCTGCAAGAGAAATATAGTCTTTAACTTTCATATGATCCTTCTAGGAAAAAAAAAAAACTTTCCTCAACACAACCCAAACTCATCTACCCATTCTCTCTCTTTGTATTATATTCTCTTCACAGAAAACACTCTACCTTTATCCAGGTCTTCCCACTTACCTCTGAATACATTCTTCAAATGGTTTCTACCCCATTTTCCTATGAAAACAATTCTTGACAAGGTCCCCACAACCCCTATGTCACTAAGTCCAACAGGCAACTTTAACAGTGGACCTCACTTGACATTTCAGCAACAATCAGATGCCAGTGGTCCTCTCTGCTCTCACAACTCCAGCTCCTGTTTTTTCAGGCTTTTACTTCCTTTCTGGGCCCTACTCCCACTCATTTGAAGGATCTTTCTCAACACTACAATCACCTGTTGCTGAAGGTACTAAAGTCTCAGGCCACCACCTTCCTTATCTCACATGGGATACTACTTCCACAGGCCCTTTCATCCAAGACCACAGCTTCAAATCACCCAAATTTATTTACCTTCAGTTAAAGTTTCACTTCTATATGCCAACTGCATGTCATCTGTCTACTGACAATTCTACTGGGATATGATAAAGAACCTGAAAATGAACTGAATTTGTACAAAGTAAAACTTACAATCTTTCTTTACTGTTTACTCTCTTAGTGTTCCTTACTTAAAAGCTGTTATCAAAAAGGAAATCTACTGAATTTGAGGAATATTTCATTGTGCTCAGAATAGCATGTGTTTAAAGTAAGTGGATTCAGAGCAATCATGGGAGAAAACTCCAAGATGTTTTGTTGTAACATTGTTACAAGCACAAATGTGAGAGGAATCAAAGCAACCAAAGGGGTTTTGTAAGGGATTGAACCACACAGTAGTCTCAGTTACAGGGGCTCCTACTTTAAGTCAATGAAAGGAGAAAAAACACATACAAATAAAGGGCACTTTGAGGTAGAACAATATACGGTCTAACTCACTCCAAAAGGGGGTAGGTTAGAGAAAGGGTTGGGACAAGGCTGGCAGTAGCCAACAAGAGGTCAAAGATCATGGTCCTGCCATACACATTTTCTTTCAAGATTTATTTACTTATTTTGAAAGTCAGAGTTAGAGACAGATCGATCTTCTGTCCACTGGTTCACTCCCCAGACGGCTGCAAGCCAGGCCAAAGCCAGGAGCCAGGAGCTTCATCTGGGTTTCCCATGTGAGTGGCAGGGGCCCAAATACTTGGGCCATCTTGTGGTGCCTTTCCTAGGTCATTAGCAGACAGCTGGATCAGAAGTGGGGCAGCCAGGACTCAGACTGGCACCCACATGGGTTGCTGGTGTCACAGGTAACAGCTTTACTTGCTATGCCACAATGCTGGTCCTACACATTTTCTTAAAAAGTAACAACCATAACTTTGGTGATTTAATGGGCTAACAGAGATTTGCTGTTTTTCTCTGTGATGTGATCATAATCAACATAAAAACTAAATACTGGCAAACCATACTGTTCTATCTAGAGCTCATTAAGAAAGCCCCATCTAGGAGACTTCAGAACTCATCTGGGAGCTTCTAAGAATTGCTGAGTTGCTGCTTTGATATCTTGCTTGCCACTGGTCTCCTTCACCCCAAGAAAGGCCACTCCTGCCCCAAATGAAAGAATAATTTTTAAAAAGTTTACCTCAGCAAATGGCTTCCTCTGACATCCAGTCAGTTACACAAGCCATGATTCTAGAAGTCGTCACTGATGTCACCTTATCTTTCTTACCATTCCTAATCCATCACTATGTTTCACCAATTTACTTAATTCTCTTTCAAAACTGTCCACTTACCTTCATCTCAAAAGATACTACACTGGTGCTAGCTACCATCATTTCTCACCTTCAATACAATGGACTTAAGATGTCTCACTTTACCCACTTTGGTACTCCTGCAATCTTTACATCTACAGCTACAATGACCCCTTGAAAACATAAATCTGATGTCACTAGGCTTGCCTAAAACTCTTCAATATCTTTCAAGTGGCCTACAAGGCTTGCATAATCTGGCTCCAATCTACTTCTGAAACATTTATCTCACATCTCTCTCTATTTTGCCTCCTGACTCCACCAGATGAGCCCTCAGTATTACCTGAATCCCCATGCTTCCCATCTCCACAGCATTTCCACACAAACTGGTCTGTGCTTCCTGTTCACCACTCACATCTCAGCTTGAGAGTCAGGTTACTAAGGACACTGTTCCCAACCCTTAAATATCTCACAGAACTGTATCCTTTTCTCTCAGAGAACAAATTTCAATTGTTAATTACTTATTAGCGGGATTATTTTACTTGACAGATGTTCTTACACTAGATATGAAGTTTAGGGTAACAGGTATCTTTTGTTTCTTTCCCTTATTGTAATTCTGATTTCTAGCACAGGACCCAGCAGAATTGGTGCTCAGAAAATGTTAGCTAAGTAATAAATGGCTAAGAGAAAATACACACTCAAACAAGTGACAATTCTGTATGACTACTGAGTTAAAAAGATAGATGACAAAATTTTTTAGAATTTTACACTTTCCCATTAGCAATTCTTTCTCCCTCCTTTTTCTTTTTTTAAAACAAAGGAAAGATTTATTTATTTATTTATTTATTTGAAAGGCAGAGCTACAGAGAGGCAGAGGCAGAGGCAGAGAGAGAGGGAGGTCTTTCATTCACTGGCTTACTCCCCAGATGGCCACAATGGCCGGAGCCGGGCCAGCCAAGCTTCGGCTGTTGTGACCATTTGGGAAGTGACCAGCGGATGGAAGACCCATATCTCTCTCTCTCTCTGCCTTTACCTCTCTGTACCTCTCTGCCTTTCAAATAAATAAATAAATCTTAAAAAAAAAATCTCATATCCTTTTTACACAAAATAAACAAAGAAGCAAATTTCCCCACCCCTCCTTCCAAGGGTATCTGCAATTCTGTTTCCATTTTTACAAAGATTTATTTTATTTATTTGAATGGCAGAGTTACAAAGAGAGAGATCTTCCATTTGCTGATTCAACCCCCCAGATGGCTGCGATGGACAGGGTTGGGGCCAAAGGCAGGAGCCTAGAACTCAATCTGGGTCTCCCACATGGACAGCAGAAGTCCAACTACAAGATCATCTTCTGCTGCTTTTCCAGGTACATTAGCAGGGAGCTGGATAGGAAGTAGAGGAGCTGGGACTTGAACAGCGCTTACATGGATTTCCAGAGGTGTCCCAACCTGCTGTGCCATAACACCGGCCCCTAAGTTCCTGAGTTTTGTATCTAGGGCACTACAGGCCTACACCTTGGTGCTATTTTAATTGTTTTGAAGGCATCTCTTAACTATCCTCCTCAACTTTCCCAACACACACACAGCACACATACGTGCATACACAAGCTTCCCAGGATTGATTATTGGCACACTTCATGCCATCTAGCCTACAATTTTTCCGTAGGCAATTTCATTCATTCAAATGATTCAACTGCTACTTCTGTGCCACAACACTTGAAGCTACACCTCTGCTTCAAATCTGCTCCCTGGTTCCACCCACCTATGAGGCATGTGCCCCTAGATGTCTTGCAAGAATCCCAAACTTTACTGAAAGTTAAATTCCTTATCTTCTTCTTCATGCCAACATCCTCCTCTTCATGAATTCTCCAACCTTGTTAACATTTTCAAGTACAGAAACCTCAGTCATTGCTGACAACTCACTGTCCAATACCTCCATTTCCAATCGAACAGCAATTATCATTCATATTTCAGAAATGTTATCTAGTTCATCCTTTTCTGTTCTGTTTCATAGTTAAAAAACTTCTCTATCTGGCTTACATTATTATAGTAGCTCCACATTAGTCTGTCTATAACAGTCTTTTTTATACTGACATGAGTATATCCTTGATCAAAACACCCATATATTAGGAAAAGAAAAGAAACCTTAGATTCCCAACCCCACAAAGCATTCGGCCTTACAAAGGCACAATAATGTTTTAATCTAGCACTTCAGTTTCTTTGTTAGCCTTCCACTTCATACACGCAAAATATAACAAGCATTAGATACTTCTTTCTGTTCCCTAAACTGTCCAACTAAGCACTTTATCACATACTAATTCAGTAAGATATAAATCACAAGTAATTTATTCTTTGTTTCTTCTTTCAACCACTTCAGACAAACTTCTAGATTCAGGGTATCTTTAGAAACTACCATATTTTACTAGAATTGAATATATAACCAATATTGATAAAAAGCCTAAAAGATACCTTGGCAAGGGTGTGAATTCACTAATTATGCCTTCTGCTCCAAGTGTGACTCCTTGGACAATAAATGTACTTCCCATTCCTTTCCACAGGGCTCTTGGTCCCTAAATGAACAAAATTTATTGTTATTTTTATTAATTCCCAAACATGAAAAAAAGGTCTTTATAAAACTTGATACTAAACATCTACTGAGATTTTCAAATAATCTGTCATTCTAAGAGAAATTTAAGTAGTGAAGCACAAATGAATTTCACTGTTTTAATGTTAGGTGGCCTATGTTTAGGCAAAAATGAACACTCCAATACCTCTGATATAATACATCTAAATAATTTGTTAAAAATCCTCAATATTTACTAGTCCTGCCTTTAATATATTTTTTTTTGACAGGCAGATTTAGACAGTGAGAGAGAGAGAGACAGAGAGAAAGGTCTTCCTTTACCGTTGGTTCACCCTCCAATGGCTGCTGTGGCTGGCACACCATGCTGATCCGAAGCCAGGAGCCAGGTGCTTCCTCCTGGTCTCCCATGCAGGTGCAGGGCCCAAGCACTTGGGCCATCCTCCACTGCCTTCCCGGGCCACAGCAGAGAGCTGGACTAGAAGAGGAGCAACCGGGACAGAACCTGGCGCCCCAACTGGGACTAGAACCTGGGGTACTGGCGCTGCAGGTGGAGGATTAGCCAAGTGAGCCGCGGTGCCGACCAACTAGTCCTGCCTTTTGAATTATCCATAGGTATCTCAATATTTACTTATCTCCAACTTAACTCATCACAACTACTCATACCACCCCAATTGTTTCTTTCTCTGCTGTATTTCCTATCTTCCTAGATAGCAGCTTCATCTTCCCACAGTGCAAATCATACATCGCATTAATAAACAACATATAACACAGTATACTTAAAAAAAGAAGCAATGGTATATCAGTTAAAAAGTCTGTCTCCTTTTCACTCCAGGTTCCAGAAGCAATTTTCATTTATCTTACAGAGACCACCCATGTTTACACAAGCACATCTCCATGAGTACGTACAAATATAGATGTGTCATTATTTTGCTCATTTTTACCAGTGGTACTATCTTGAACCATAAAACATATCAGAGATCATGCTGTATCAATACATCCAGAGCTGCCTTTTTGTTTTTAAAAGCTACATGGCATTTTTTCCACATAAATACACTGTAATTATTTTACTTGTATCCTACTGATAGATACTTATCATTTCCAATCTCATTATATTTAACGCTACAATGACATCCTTATACACACATGTACACATGTATGTGGGCTAAGTTCTTAGAAAAAATTAGTATGTCAATAACATGTATATTTTAAATTTTAATAGATACTGTCAAAGAACTCAAGATAATGGTGGTCACTGCTAAACCACCTTAAATGGTACTCTTCTAGCTTTTAATATCAAGTGTGTAGTTCCTAAAAGATCCTCTTTGATCTAGATCCTGCTTACATCTTTAGCACTTTTCCATCTTTCTCTTACTCATCAAACCCTGCTCCTAGCTCCCACTATTGTACTGCATTAAGGCCATTCCAAACATGTATTGCGTCCTTCTCTTCTGTCTTTGAACTTCTAAAATCTTTTCTCTACCCTTATAATTAAGAGGTGGCCTTCTTTTCAGTAAGTATAAAACTTAGTGTCTCTCCCAAAGATTTTCCTAGTCATAGTCTAGTCATAAATCTCACTTATTTATTTTTATTTAAGAGAAAGAGAGAGAAAATCCATCTGCTGGTTCATGTCTCAAATGCCCACAACAGCCAGAATTGGGCCAGGCTGAAGCTGAGAGATAGGAAAATCCAAGTTTCTTACATAGGTGACAGGGACCCCATTACATGAGCCATGACCATTGACTCCCAGGGTATGCATTGGCAGAAACCTGGATCAGAAGCCAGAGTTGGGTATTGAAACCAGGCTCTCCAATGTAGGATTTGGGCACCTTAACCAGTGTCTTGACCAACTATGTTAAATGCCTGTCCCCTCAATCCCAGTTTGGAGTTGACCTCTCTTTTGTACACTGGTGGTATTTTATATTTTTAACATTGCATTTATCTTACTACACCACTGGTGGTATTTCTTATTCTTAACATTGCATTTATCTTACTATACCACAATCTTCTGGATAAGTTTTAATATCCATAACTAAACTACAAATCCCTTGATATCAAGCCATTATTTTACCTGGTACTAGGTTCTTAGAGCCTAGCACAGCTTTTTGCAGTTTTTGCTGAATTAATTAAGTGAAATTTTGAAAAATCCAAAAATATATTACCATGCTATTTAAGTTTTACTATAAAAGCAAAGATATTTGTACTAATCAAATTGAAAGGAACCATTCTTGCAATATTTACCAAGCCCAAATGACCCTTGTTATATGCTTTAATAAAATTAACAGACTAATTTTCACCTGAGTTTTGTTGAAGCTGTACATAATATTGATGACTGTAAATGGAGTGAGATGATAATGCCGAGCATGATAATTAACCTGTAAAACAATTACATAATTTTTAATTTTTATTGATTTGTGAAGAAATAACAAGTCCCATGAAAAATATAAACCAGAATTGTATTCTAAACAAAATGTTAATTCTAAAGTCAATATAATTACATGTAAGCAAAATTACTGTTGAAAGTGCTTTAAATAACCAATTAAAAATACAGTAAATATATTATATAAATACAATCTGAAGATCAGTGTACAATATACATAAAAATATAGACTACATAATAAAGAGTTATTTTATATTTATATTTCTTTAAATATTATAATTATACCCCCTAACTAACATTCCTCTTAGGCAAGCATTTCTCAAACTGTTAAGTTGCAACCAATTGGTAAATTATGAATCAGTTAAAAGTGTCAATACAACTTTATATTGGACCTCAGTGCAATATTATCACAATGTAAAATATACGTTTGAAATACTATTCAGGGAGGCCAGCGCCGCGGCTCACTAGGCTAATCCTCCGCCTAGCGGCGCCGGCACACCAGGTTCTAGTCCCGGTCGGGGCGCCGGATTCTGTCCCGGTCGCCCCTCTTCCAGGCCAGCTCTCTGCTGTGGCCAGGGAGTGCAGTGGAGGATGGCCCAGGTGCTTGGGCCCTGCACCCCATGGGAGACCAGGAAAAGCACCTGGCTCCTGGCTCCTGCCATCGGATCAGCGCGGTGCGCCGGCCGCAGCGCGCCGGCCGTGGCAGCCATTGGAGGGTGAACCAACGGCAAAGGAAGACCTTTCTCTCTGTCTCTCTCTCTCACTGTCCACTCTGCCTGTCAAAAAAAAAAAAGAAATACTGTTCAGGGACACACATGCTGTCTATGCTATAATGTGGTTGTTTCTCTAAGCATACCTATTTACCAAAGCTAAGCATCAGCAGATTAACTTGTAATAATTTATACTGCTTTGAATTCTAACAGCAAAAAATACAGGAAAAAATTACACTGCAAATAAACTAAGTTACATTTTATCAGCATTTGCCACATGTGGTCCAGTCACCCCGGAGGGTCTCATTATACATTCAGGGGATCAACAAGTTCAAAGTTATCTTCCTAAAGATGCTAAGGCATCGTTCGCCTGTGTTGACATTTTCACTAATGACCCATACACAATGGTGTGTAAAACTGCTAGCTCTTTAGCATGAATCAACAACTGTATTTTTGTATTCAACTGTATTCTTCACCCCACTTACTCACAGGAAGGAGAGGGTAACCTTCATATTATTGATGAAGCAGTAAAAAATCTTGTGTATTGCATAAACAGCAAGATGACTGTCATGAGGAAAAGCACTTGAATGATGGAACTGCAAGCTAAACTAACCACTTTTTTTCATGAACATCATTTTTGCTTGAATAAAAGCACTGCCTATGGTTATATACTTGGGACTAACATGTTTTTAAAAATGAACTGAGATTGTGATTTAAAACAAAAAAACCCAACAATATTTGTGGTCAATGATAATTCTGAGTTTGCAAGTGAAAATCAGAATTTTAAATAATCTGTATCCAGCTTCTAATACCTAGACTTTTCCTGTGAGATCAGTGGTGCTTTTATAAAATGTTTTGTTTTTCATTCCAAATCCAATGTCATTTTTATTTAAGAAAACAACTTTATTTAAGTGTAACAGATGCATGAAATCATATTTAAGGTATACAACTTGATTCATTTTGAACTGATATGCTCACTGTGAAATCATGACTACAATAAAGATAATTACTTCCATTGCTCTCAAAGGTTTTTTTACATCTTTTTTTTTTTCCTTTATAAATTTTATTTAAGTTGTACAAGTTTCATGTTTTTCATATATAGAGATTTAGGAACACACAGATACTTTCCCCCCCTACCATCTATGCTAAAATATGATTTTTTGGTATTATATAATCAAACATCTAAATTTCAGAAGACCTATGTAACAGAAAAGCAACATTTTTTGGAAAAAATAACCATTCAAAAATATTTATAACTAGATCTTTTAATGTAAAAAGTATTAAACTTCATTAATACAGTTTCAGGTTTTACATTGCAAATATCTTTAGAAACTACTATTTAATGTATTTTGGTATAATTTCAAAGCAGAATACCCCAAATTATCTGAAAAGGATATACAATACTACTACAAAAGGTTTTTGCTACATATATGTAACAAGGCTAGACTTCTTTTCCTTTATTTCTTCTAAAAACAACATTCCAACAGACTGACTTCAGAGTAGATAAAAAGAATTTGGCTATCTCCTATTATGCCAGACATTAGACATTTGTAAAAATATAAAACAGCTATTTTTCATGAAAATGTTATTTATGTTCATTATCTAATAGGATAGACATATTACATTTTTTCTAAACTTCTAAAATAGCAAATATCAACAGATATGACTCACATAAACCAAAGTTCTTTGAAATTCTAAATAATTTAAGACTTTAAAGAGGGCTTGAACCAAAAACATAAAGAAACTATTAAGATTTTGAAACATTTCACATGAAATAATGGTTACATGCTTTCATGACATTTATCTGAGTTTTGCAATTTAGATCAGGGTTAACATCATTGTTTCAAAAGGTCACAGAAATTACATTTACCTGACATTGACGGCGTAGGACAATGCAAGGATGGGCCAGCACATTTTCTGTAAAAAGACTACATAAAAATGACTTATGTAGATATGTGTTTACATACAAATTTTACCTGTAACACATGTACATATGAAATTACATATGTAGACATGAAATTCTTCTTGCCTGAAGAATTATGAATTACTTTACATTCTCCATTCAAAAAAACTAGTTTTTTAAAATATCCCAATATATTTTCAAATGATTCCACCATTAACAAAATCAATATGAAAAGAGTGAAAACCAGATTAGCAAATTACTGAGGGAAACAATACATAATAGTAGTATCTGTAGAACAAACATACCACATCAATTAAGTTGTATCATCAACACCATTTACTTTCCAATTCTTTCAGAAAATGTTCTATGAACGAAATTCTCATCTGAAAAGCCATCTGTTTCTCATGAACCTCATTCTAAAGATTTTTATTTAACCTGACACTTAATAAGTTATAGAATTAATAATGACTGTTAACTGACTACTATTTTATGTATCAAATATTTCTTCTGAAAATATTTCCCACAGAAGAATTAGAGCTGTGGGCTTAAGCTTTAACAATGACATATAAGTATACATTTACCTACATACACTTACATATATAAATATCTTATATCAAATGAACACTTTAAATATAGTGAAGCTAAAAAAATTAACTGGAAGAATAGAAAACACAGATTTTATTGGTATTTACATTAACATGTTTAGGTTTCATGCAAATTAGGGGGTTTTTAGGTTAAACTATTTAAAATGATTAAGATCAGTAAGTCTTGTGCAATTCCAATGTTTTTGAAAATGGTATTCACTAAAGACCACAATAATCAAGACTGATGACTTTTCTTAACCAAAATGATCATAGGAAAAAACATGTGGTACTAAGTAACCAAATGCTCATTAGGAGCAAAATCTAGACTCTATGCTGCTAAATACCTTGTTAGCATTTCAATGCTTAGAAATCTTAATTTTTTGTAATTATATTCATATATAATACAAATATACATTTATATATAGTATATATAATATATTCATAAAATTTAATTTTTGCAATTATTTTTGATGGAAAGGAAATAAGACTACATTTGATGTTATTCTTTGGGTGATTCATAAAAGTTGTTACAATATCCATTACAAAATTACTTAGTATTTGTAAACTGAATAACTCTTACTGGGAAAAATACCAAGTTATAGATTTAAATAATGATCATTTTTTTTCCTGTGAAATATTATTCAATACTTAATCTGCTGCTCCAAAGAAACAACCTAAAGAAAGTAATACTAACCACCAGTATTCAAAATTAAAGGAAAACTCTAAATAAAAACTTTTTAAAATTTAGATACATTATTACCTTGCAAGTCCAATACCAAATCCAGCAAATCTATTCAATTGTTCTGAAATGAAAGGAATAAGATTACTCATAACCAATATTTAGGTTTACTATAAAATTTTTCTTTTAGTAACATGCTGTTCATTTAAACCTCCAAGTCAAATTCCCATAAGCACCAGGGATGTAATCTGAATGAGTGCAGGACTCTCTGGGACTATGGCAAGCTGCAAGGTACAGTTTTTAAAGGTGCAGCAGATCTTTAGTTCCAATTCACTGCTGCCGCATGGGTTTCTAACCTGTGATTGTTTTCTAAAAAACACTTGTTTTTATATAAAATCTTCCAACACTTAGAAATGGGCAACTATTTCAGAATTAAACATTGCATAGGCCAAATCAAACAAGTATGCAAGGATGATCAATTTTCAACTTCTGACCTCAATCATCTAAAATTTTTTTCTGAAGGCTGGCATTCTGGTATAGTGGGTTAAACTGCCGCCTGCAACGTCAGCATCCTATGTAGCGCTTGTTCGTGTTCCAGTTGCTCTACTTTTTTTTTTTTTTTAAAGATTTTATTTATTTTATTTGAGAGTTAGAGTTACAGACAGTGAAAGGAAGAGACAGAGAGTGAGGTCTTCCATCTGCTGGTTCACTCCGCAAATGGTCACAACAGCCAGAGCTGTGCTGATCAGAAGCCAGGAGTCAGGAGCTTCTTCTGGGTCTCCCATGTGGGTGCAGGGGCCCAAAGACTTGGGCCATCTTCTACTGCTTTCCCAGGCCATAGCACAGAGCCGGACTGAAAGAGGAGCAACCTGGACTAGAACCAGTACCCATATGGCGTGCCAGCATTGCAGGCAGATGATTAACCCACTGTGCCACGGCACCAGCCCCTGCTCTACTTCTGATCTAGCTACTAGCTGATGGCCTGGGAAAGCAACAGAAGATGGCCCAAGTACTTGGGCCCCAACATGGAAGACCTGAAGGAGGCTCCTGGCTTCAGCCTTGCCCACTTCTGGTCACTGTGACCATTTGGGGAGTGAGCCGGTGATCAAAGATCCCTCTCTCCCTCCCTCTCTGTAACTCTGCCTCTCAAATAAATTAATAAAATCTAGGGATGTGGTACAGTAGGTTAATCCTCTGCCTGCGGCGCCCGAGTGCCAATTCTAGTCCTGGCTGCTTCTGCAGCAGCCAGTAGCCAGGAATTCCATCTGGTCTCCCACATGAGTGGCAGGGACCCAAAAACGTAGGCCTGGGAAAACTGTGGAAGATGGCCCAAGTGATTGGGTGCCTACACTGGCATGGGAGACCCAGAAGAAGCTCCTGGCTTCTGGCTCCTGGTGGGCCCACCTCAGGACATTGCGGCCATTTGGAGAGTGAACCAGTAGATGGAAGACCTTTCTCTCTCTCTCCCTCTCACTGTCTGCAACTCTACCTCTCAAATAAGTAAAATCTTTAAAATAAATAATAAGTAAATAGAATCTTAAAAAAAATTTTCCCCAGTGAATGAACTTATTTTCCTCCCATACTGTAAAACCAAAAGTTTCACTATTTTTGATGGAAAGCACCCCTAAATTAATTGATTTGTTGAATACTCAGGGTAACAAAAATGGATAAATGTAGTTTTCTTCTTCCTTACCTCAAGTTTTAGCCATTGAGCAGCTGTCTAATTCAGTGTCTGATAGGTTACAGCATAGATGTGTGCTACTACTAATAGCATTCCTGTGACTGGGAAAGTTCATAGCTATTAGAAAATTCCTGTGCTTATGTCAAATGAGAAAGCCTTTCTCCTTTGCAAAAGAACCAGAATCATAATGAGGAACTATCACAATCTCAGGACACCAGGCAGTAAACTAAAAACAATATCCACAATGAGCAATTCTCTGTGTCTCCCTGCCCATTGCTCTTCCAAAAGCAGCAATCGCCTCAATACAAAATAAAACCATGTGACCCTGTTCCTCAGGAAACAGCATGGTTTACCCTTGAAAAACACACAAGCAGATAGAAATCTTCTTTTGCCTCATAAAGATAGTTTCTCTCTTCAGCTTTTACCGTTTTTGCTGTATACAGATGATTCCTAGGTATTAACAGAAAATGTCTTTGACATATTCTGGAAGGTGTTAGGAAAGTTTTTTATTGTTAACTGTGTAAGCCATGCGGGGGCTAATCTGGTTGCAGTTATGTTTGTCAGCCTTATAACGGCTGCAAATAAAATCCTGGTTTTGTTAAGGAACTCTTCATCACTGTAACCAGATAACAATAACTTAGGAAAACATAAACTCGACTGCCTAAGAAGGTAGCTCGGTACTATCTATATGTATTTTGAATTACTTAGTTTCTAACTTACAAACCATTCCAGTATTCTTTTGGGCCCAGGACACGGTGGTAAGGAAAAAGCTAATGGTACCATCTGCCTTCATATCCTCATTTGCTTACTAGATAGTCATTAAAGTCCATCACTCCCAGTTAATTCAGATCAAATAATGATTATTGTACTTGCAAGCAGAAACGGAGGAAATGAGTATAAAGCTGATGTCTCAGAATATATTTAATATGTAATGATATAATTACTCTATTACACTAACAATTCCAGAATGAGAAGAGGCCATTGTTATTTCAGTTTACACATAAAAACGATGTATACAGATCATGCAGTGTGGCAATTAAAACAGATCTGGAGTCGGCCTGGGACAGAGCCATTGTGACAATGGCATGCCACATCCAATGCCTTAGGTGGTCAGTGGCCTCCACTTCTAATCATGTCCTGCTAATGCACCTGGAAAGTCAGTGGCTGATGGCCTACGTTCTTGGGTCCCTGCCACTCATGTGGGAGACCAGATGGAATTCCTGGCTACTGGCTGCTGCAGACATACGAGGTGTGAACCAGCGATGGAAGATCTCGCTCTCTCCCTGTCAGTCTGACTTTCAAACACAAAAATTTTCCAAAAAAGAAAGCACAAGTCTGTTTGTTGACATTCTACAGAGAGTAATTATGTCTCCAGCCCAAAGTTCTAACCTGAAACTGTATGGGTGTTTTTAACCCTTAAGCGGAGTTTTCATGACAGAAAAAGGAAAGCAATAGAAGGGAAAATTATTGGGAGGAAAACGTCTAGATTGGGATCTAAAAAAACACATGCAACTCCCACGACTAAAAAGGAAAATCAAGGATTCTCTTTAGCTTACTGTATGCCCCATACTTCGTGAAGCAGGCGTTATTCAATTCCTCTAACACCCGTAAAAAGCCTCCCATAACTCTTCCACACACCTTAAAGAGGAGATAACGGCTCACCGAGGTCAAGCTTATGAATACAAACCGGCCTATGCTGACCGGCTTCTCTTTGGACAACATAAAGGTTCAAGTGACTACCTTCACTGAAGCAAGAAAACACAGCCGCCGACGTGAATTGGGTAACAGTAAACAATCCGGTTTCCCTCTCTCCGGACTCAAACTACAGAATGTGAGACGCCACGAGCCCCGAAGATCCTCACTCTGCACCCCACGGCCACGGCAGATGTCCCTCTTGGAGGCGATCCCGGAGAGGACGTGTGCGCGAGGGACACGCCTCAGGGACAGAGGACGAAAAGAGGGCAGAGGGTGTGGCGTGGGACAGGCCGAGAAAGCCCTGGGACCCGGCTTCCGGGGTCTGAGGGCCGGAACGCGGCTCCGCCACCCCACCCCGATCCCCAGGGTCCCCGCGCCCTCACCGCTGCTCTGCCCCTGCACGCCGCCGCCGCCAGTGCCAGGAAAGGGCTCCTCCGCGGGGACCTCGTGCGGCGTGGAGGCGGAGGGCACGCCAAACGGCGGGCTCTTCTCGCCCCAGTGCAGGTTGCGGCTGCCTGGGATGTCTGGGGGAGTCGTCACCCAGTGGCCCAGGTCCGAGCCGGAGCTGAAAGACCTTGCAGGGAAAGCGCCGCCGAAGCCCTGCTCGTCCCGGGCCCCGCCCCGGTAGCCCAAGCCATCGAATCCATCCGGGCGCCGCGGATGCATGGCAGCGCGGGAGGATGAGGCGAGCCTACCCGGGGCCCGCCACTACCGGGCCACGGCGACCTAGGGTCCCACGGCCTCCCCTCACGGGCCACCGGCGCCGCCGCCGCCGCCGCCGCCGCCGCGTCCGGAGGATTCTGACAACCGGAAGTTACGTCGGAACCCGGAAGGCGTGGGACCACGTGATCGCGGCCTCTTCCGGCGGCCGTTAGTGACAAGGTTGCTAAGGAGAACTGGCCAGACCCTAAACTTTGTTTATGTGAGGGAGAAGGTGAGAGGATGCTTGCGGGTTAATAAAACGCCGGCCAAAGACGCCAGAACAGGCATCGGTGTAGGAGACGGTGCCTGGGTGGAGTCGTCAGATAAGCAGGTTTCTCCTAGGGAGCTGATAACTCTCGAGTGGTGTGGCCGCACAGCTCCGCCCGCTTCTGGGTCTCGTTTCCCACCGGGCCGGGCCTTGGCGCCGCCGCAGGGGTACCAGCTCAGGTTGCCACCTGTTGGTGGCGTCTCATCTAGCTTTAGCTCCTGCAGTCAGGGTTTTGGATAAAATTATCTGTGGAGATGTGGTCTTGCCCAGTGGGCCCCCACGTACTGGGGAGCACCGAGGAAACGTTTGGAAGGGTCTGGCGATCGGTGGGGAGGAAATAACTCACACGCTGGACTGCGTGTGAGTCCCGCCCTCCGGGATTTAGGAATTGAGCGACAATAAAGAGATACTGTTCCTATTTTTCGGCTGCATCCAAATCAGCAATACTGTTAAAAATGGGGACCCCAAGTTGAACCATTGGGATTTGGCCGGGGCCCCTGCTACCTGTTTGCCTGTGCTCCATGGCTGTAGGGGCAGTGTCTTTCTCCAGGTCTCACCGAGTCCTCCATGGGTTCTTCTGTGTCCCTGCTTCCCACTGGACGCCCAGGATTCCGAGGGCTTTCAGCGAGAACCCTGACGCACCTTTGTCACCTGCCAGGCGTGAACCTTTATTTAAAGTGATAACTTCGTTTTGAGAGAACTGACATTCTTAGACATTCTTTTAAAGAAAGGAAGACGGTTAAAAGGTGTGTGTCTTTTTAATATAAAAGCAGTGACAGCTCACAATTTCATGTCAGCATCAGTGGAGATAGGACGAATTATTAAAAGAACCAACTGAGTAGCTAGTTCAGGGGAGAAATAGAAAAGCAATAGATGCCTTCTCTGACAGCTTGCTGTCAAATCCCCCGTGATATATTGTGTTTTTATTTAAAAAAAACTGAAGAAGTGAAAGGTGAATATTTTTTATACAATAAATTGGAAAACTTTCTAAGAGTGGCACAAGGTCAAAAGGCATTTAGGGAATCGGGGACAGTCTATAATTTGTATAAAATATAAATTTCTTCTCTCTGCCTCTCCTCTCTTTGTGTAACTTTTTCAAATAAATAAATCTTTTAAAAGATATAAATTTCTATATGTTAAATGAAAAAAGCCATAGTAATCAATATTGAAAGACAAAATGGAAAAATGACTCTTTAATGTATAAAGAACTCTTATCAATGAATAAAAGTAAATTAGTAGAAATATGAGCAAAATACATGAGGAGGCAATTCAAAAACAAATGGATAGTATATGAAAAATATAATCCTCTAGTAATTAAAATGATAAATATCAATTATCATCTATTAAAATGCCAATCTTTAGAATGTGGGGATTATCATGACATGAGAAGAAAGTAGTTATCATTAATTTAACAAGTAATGTGAATGTAACACCTTTTAATGGAGAATATTTTGACTATATATTAAAAACCATAAAAGTGATCACATCTTTTAACTCCAAAATATTACAAAATGTTGTTCCCCAGATCTGTTTACAACATGTGTGAGAATAATAAACACATGTGTATGGTCCATGATAGAAAAAATTGGCAGGAATCTGAATATCAAGAAATTATTAATAGGTGTTTTCACATCAATTATTAAAGTAATATATCCATGCAATCCTTTAATAAAAATCTATCTTTGAATATATATCTTGTGCCAGGCACTGGGTTAAGTTATGGAGACAGAGTAGTGAATTAACCACACAAAATCCCTGCATTCTTAGGACTGACATTCTAGTTTAGCTAGACAAATAACAGACAAATATATTGCATCAAATAACAAAGCAAACATACAACACAATGACAGGTAATATCATTATTATGTTGAAATAAACAGAAATAGAGGCAGTCCTTTTAGGTCAGCTTTTTTAGAACAAGGTGTCTTCTCTGAAGAAGGGACTTTTGAACAGAGACCTGGAAGAAGTATAGAGTGAGCCATGTGCCAATATCTGAGAGAAAAGTTTTCCAGGCAGGCTAAGCATAAGCCCTTGATAACCAGCTAGGTAGCCAGTGAGCAAGGGTGTAAGTGGTAGGAACTGAGAGCTGAAAGAGGCCAAGAGCCTGATCTTATAGAGCCTTGTCAATGATGGACACAATATAGGGGTTTTTTGAGATTAGAGGAATAGTGTGACCTTACCAAGATTTTAGCTGGATCAACATGGCAGCTGCATGGGGCCAGAGTAGAGCCTTTTCTATTTAGTAGGCAGTTGTAAGTTGCTGAGGCAAGAGATAGTAGTAACTTGGTCTAGAGTGTTAGTGGTGAAGGAGGAAAGAAGTTAGAATCCAGATAAAGATTACATTAGAGAAGTATATTGAATGATGTGAAAGTTCATGTTAAAAACATAAACAGCATGATCTCACTCTTTAAAAAAACATAAGTAATGATAGACTCACAATAGAAAGATATGTGCCAGAATGAAATTATGTCAGCATAGTTTTAGTTTTTTACTGGCATTTACTAATTGCTCTTAAAAACTTACTTTTTTTCCAAGAAGAAATAATTTGGGAAAAAAGTAATAACATTCAATTAATTCAATTATGAAAAGACAGCAGTAAAGAACTTTCTGTTGTAATCCATAAGCTGTACTTTGGAAATTTATATTCATTAAATAAAAGTTAAAAAAAAGATAAAAAAAGATCTTTCTGGATTACTATATCTGTTCATATCATTCAATTAGCAACATCTAACACACCAACCATCAAAGTCCTATCATTCTGTATTTCTTCAAATTTTCTCTAAAATAATGATGCTGAAATGGTCCAGAATCTGAAGCTCCAAACTAGTTTGATAAATAACATGTAAATTAAAACACACATTTTAAAAAGTGACCAACATTCATTGTATGAGAATAACAGTATAGTATTTGTATTAGTAATCATTTGTGGCTTAATAAATTAGCTCCACTCACAATAAATTGAGCAACTAGAAATATCTCCTGGCTTCTGTAAATCAAGAATTTGAGAGTGGCTTATCTGTATGGTACCCGCTTGGGGCTTTCATGAGGTTGCAACTAAGATGTCAATTTGGGTACAGTAATTTTAGAATCAAGTAGGTGTTTAACTGGGGTTTGAGGACCCCCCCCCCCAAGATATTTCACTCAGCTGTGGAAAAAAAAAAAACTTCGTTTCTATTGATTGTGATTAGGAGGTTTCAGTTTCTGATAACACAGAATTCTTTATAGAATGCCTTGAATGTCCTCACGAAATGATAGCTGGCTTTTTCCCCAACAAATGACTCCAAAGGAGAGGGCAAAGGGAAGCCAAGTTAACCATGTAACTATATAACTAATCACAGCTCATCAGTTCTGTCAATTCTATTTTTTAGAAAAAAAATCAATCACTAAATTTCACAATAAAGGGGAAAGATGCCTTCAACTTTTGAAGGGAGTTGTGAGTGTGTAACAGAGTGTGTGTATATATAAAAGTGTCACAATCCAGTATGAAAAACTTCACACTTGATTACTTTGTTAGGAAGGTTAGGCAAAATACAGTCAATGCCTAAATACTTAATGGGGTATGCACAGTTAGCACAGTTAGTGGAAGTAACTATAAGTAACTTATGATTTGTGTCCAAAGTTTTTTTCATTGCCAAACTTAATCTCTTTCTACTTGAATGGCTGTTCCAATTTGTGTTAAGAAGATTGCTGTAGACTAAATCATTGGACTCAATGTTTCACTCCTCTGGAGAAGTGTTATACTCTGTATCCATACCCTTGTCATGGACTCATTCCTTGCCCTTTGATTTGGGGATTTGTCCAAAAGGATGTTAGCAGTTGTCACCCAAGCAGAGGCTTTGTTCGGTTGACTTGTCCTCCTGGGCTTCTGTTCCACCATAAGGAAAAACAAAACAAAACAAAACAACACCTCCATAGTAAACACCCCTTTACCCTGGCACCAGAATGAGGTACTTAGAGTGGATCTGAGCCCAACTGGCCATCTGGAGCCAATTCTAGGTGAGCCAGCCAACATCACGAAACCCAAGCCAACCTGCAGACTAGTGAGAAAAACTATTTATATTTTAAACTATTAAGAATGTTCTGCCAGGCCGGCACCACTTGGCTAATCCTCCTCCTGTGGCGCCAGCACCCCGGGCTCTAGTCCCGGTTAGGGCGCCGGATTCTGCTCTTCTTCAGTCCAGCTCTCTGCTGTGGCCCAGGAAGGCAGTGGAGGATGGCCCAAGTGCTTGGGCCCTGCACCCGCATGGGAGATCAGGAGGAAACTCCTGGCTCCTGGCTTCGGATCGGCGCAGCACGCAGGCCACAGCGTGCCGCTGTAGCGGCCATTTGAGGGGTTAACCAATGGAAAAGGAAGACCTTTCTCTCTGTCTCCCTCTCTCACTAACTGCCTGTCAAAAAAAAAAAAAAAAAAAAAAAAGGATGTTCTGCCAATAGTTGATTAACATGATTATTGTGCAGGTTTTTTTTTTTTTTTAAACTTATTTGTTTGAGAGGGAGCAAGAAAGAAAGAACTTTCATTTGCTCATTCACTCCCTAATTGCCTGCAATGGCTAGTGCTGGGCTTGGGCCAAAACTAAGAGCTGGGAACTCTATCCACACCAACCACACGGATGTCAGAAACCCCATTACTTGGGCCATCACTGCTGCTTCCCATGTTCTGTATCAGCAGGAAGCTGGAGTCAGGCTTGGGAGCTGGGAATCAAACTCAGGTACTTCAGCGTGGGACATAGGCATCTTAATCAGCTTTTTAACCACTAATCCAAATGCCCACCCCTTTATGCAGATTTCTAACGTGATTTTATTTTTAAAATGTCTCTTATAGGATTAAATATTAGCATCACAAACATATCAATTAATTTACAAATATGAAACATAACCCATTGGTACAGGAAATAACGTGGTAAATGCAATTCATTTCTTAAAATTTTTGGTTTATCTGCTTCATGAACTAATATACAGAAAAATTATTTATAAATAAAATTATATATTCTTTGATAAACACAATTTGATATCAGAGAACTTCAAAAATAGTAAAAAAATTGTGATTTAGAAGGTTGTTAAGTTGCAAAATACTAATGTAGCAAGCAGTTCAAATTAATTATATGTCTTCATGGAAATGTCTTTTTCTATGATTCACTTAAAATTTTATTTATTTATTTGAAAGAGAGAAAGCAGGCACTCTTATCCTCTGGTTGACTCCCCGACATGACTGGGCCTGGATTCTGCCACAGCAGGAAAACAAGAACTCAGTACAGGTAGGCTTTCCATGTGGATTATGGGAACCCAGGTATTTGAGCCATTATATGCTGCCTTCTAGGGTCTGCATTAGCTGAAATCTGGAGTCAGGAGTCGGAAAGTGGGCAAACTCAGGTCATCTTATACTAGTTTGAAACATGGCAATGAAGATGCTAATAGCCATAATTGTGTGTGTGAAATGTTGTAAATTGAAATTTGGAATATAAATAAAATTTAAAATGAAGCAAGATTTGAGAAATATTATTTTTAAAATGCAGTATTTTAAATTGTCTAAGAGTTTCATCTCTTTCATGACTTTTCATTGAGCACTCATTGTGTGGATTTCTTTAGATGGAATTTGGTAAGTGCTATGTAAGATAACCATCATTTTATTGGAAACAGGCATGGGGCATGGACTTTCTTTTTGTTTTATATTTTTTATTACGGTAGTTCTACGGTTTTTGGTTGAGTGTAAATTCGACCCCTTGTGGTTACGGGGCAGACACCCTGAGGACTTGATTTTCCAGAGCTCTGGTGCTGAGCGCATTAGCGCCTTCAGATCCACGCGGAGGCGTTTCAGAACAGCAATTTGACTGAAATACGGCTCCCTTTAAGATAAAGCGTACTGTCTTTACGACTATTTTAAAAGTTTAGACTCGGGAGGAGAGGGCAGTCGCCGGAGAGGGCGTTAAGACCCGGAGGAGACGTTCAAGCTCTGCCTTCGCCTCAGGCCGGGAATGAAAACTAGGTTCAGCATTTAGGATGAATCGTTAGCAGGTACTCTGCCGCTAACTGCAGGCTTTCCCACCACCCGCATTTGTTCTTGCCTAATCCAACACAGATTGTGGAAGCGGAGACCGGCAGGTGAAATTTCACTCCTGTGCGCTGATTGGCTCAAAGCTGGTCGCGAGCCGCCCACAGCGTTCTTAGCAACCAGCCGGGTGCCCGCAGCCCGCAGCCCTGGAGTGAGGGGCTACCGGGTCCTGCCTGCCGCTGGCGGCCCCCGCGCTGGCGCCCACCAGCTTCCGCAGGGAACCCAGAGCCACCTTTCCTGGCGTCCCTGCCCCTTAGGGAGGTAAGAGTTCCCCGGGTGGTTTGAAAACGGAAAGATTTTTTCTTTTTCCATATGGATTGGTTCTGAGTTTGAGCTTCAACTTTGGGCCTTAGTTCATATAGCTATGAAGTGAGCACATTAATTAAGTTGGCCTTAACGTAATCTTACATTTTATGATTGATTCTTATTTGGGATGGATTATAATGAAATAACCTTAAATGCCAAATCCCTTTTCTTCTTTTTTTTTTTTTTAAGATTTAAATCCTCAATAAGCCCGAGAGGGTTCTTGTCTATTTAGAGAAGAATTCTAAATACCGGCACAGATAAACGAGGCAGCATGGTACATTTTAAGCCTTTATTTAGTGAGAAAGATGCATAGAAGAGTGAGAGCTTTATCTAAGAGAGAGGGGGTAAATCTGGGTTCATACAGAGCGCCAGGAACCAGCCACGTGGATGAGCATCTAGGCCAGGAAGCCTAGGGCGGGTGGCCCAGGGCTTTAGCTAGACCCCTCCTGGCAAGAAGCCAGGGAAGAAGAGATGGGCCAACGCTCCCTGTTCCAGGCTTTTAACCCACTTCCAAAGGGGAGTGGTTAATTAACCTGATTGGCTGGTGGGCAGTCAGGTGTGGCCAGGTAGGGACATGAGGTCACACAGGGGTGTGGCAAAGCTATCAGGTAGGGCGTGAGGTCACACAGGGGCATGACAAAGGCGTGGTCTTCCAGCTCACAAGCCTAATCAGTTTTAGCCTGTATGCCTGCCTACTTCAGGACCACATGGGATGCCAGCACTGCAGGTCAGGGATTTAACCTGCTGGGCCACGGCCTGGGCCCCAGAAAGGAAGGCTTTGCTGGGCAGACTGAAGGAGGAGGGCAATTATCCTATTGCTCCGAAAGGTGAAATGCGTTTAATTTCTTGTGGACTCACTTGTCCTGGGGCAACCCTGCTTGTCTGGATGGTCAGTATTGGTGGTGAAATTGCACTTCTCCCTTTTCCTTTTTGTTTTTCTGTGTGTGTGTGTGTGTGTTTCTTTTGTAGTACTCAGACACTTTTGGACTTTAAAAGAGAAACTCAAATATCTGGCCCTCTGAGCATTTGGGCTGTAGGAAGGCATTAGAGATGTGAAGTAAAAGGTTATTAGAAACAATTAATCTTGCTAAAAGCTTTCAGGTTATCCATTAGGAAAAATTTCTAAGAGGGGATCACACTGGTGTTCTTTGGTCAAATTGCTCTTTTCTCCTAAGGTTATGGTGTAAATATTGTATTGCAGACAATGTAATTTTAATACCTAATTTTCAGAAACTGCCTTTTAAAATGTACATTTTCAACCTTGTTTTAACAGGAGGGTTTTTGTTTAAATAATTTTTTAAAAATTTATTTATTGGGGCTGGCACTAGACATACTAGGCTAAGCCTCGCCGTGTGGTGCTAGCATCCCATAAGGGCACCAGTTTGTGTCCTGGTTGTTCCTCTTCTGATCTAGCTCTCATCCATGGCCTGGGAAGGCGCTGAAAGCAAGTGTTTGGGTCCCTAAACCTGCACGGGAGACCTGGAAGAAGATCCTGGCTCCAGCCATTGTGGCCATCTGGGGAGTGAATCAGCAGATGGAAGACCTTTCTGTCTCCCCCACTCTCTCCTGTAACTCTACCTCTCTAAATAAATACAATTTTTTGTTAAAAAGATTGTATTTATTTATTTGTTTGAAAGAGTTACAGAGGGAGAAGGAAGGGGAGGAGGAGGAGGAGGGAGAGGGAGAGGGAGAGGGATCTTCCCTCTGCTGATTCACTCCCCAGATGGCCGCAAAGGCAAGGGCTGAGCCAAGCTGAAGCCATTAGCCAGGAGCCGCAAGCTAGGAGCTTCATCCAGGTCTCCCACATGGGTGTAAGGGCCCAAACATTGGGCTATCTTCTGCTGCCTTTCCCAGGCCATTAGCAGTGAGCTGGATCAGAAGTAGAGCAGCCAGGACTTGACCCAGTGCCGTATGGGATACTGGCCTTGCAGGTAAAAATTCTACCTGCTGTGCTACAACACCAGCGCCTAACAGGAGCTTTAGAAAAATATGACAGGAATTAATACAAATACTTTTTTTTTTTCATTTTGTTTCTATGCCTGGTTGTCAATGAACTGCTAAGCACTGGGTATTTTGCTGTGACCATTTCATGAGCTGGGACATATCTTTGTTTTGATGCTCCACATACATCTTTAGGCTCAGGTGAGCACCAGATTTTTATTTCATTAAGAACTATTCTATATGAACCCTTATTTTTTTGTAAGATTTATTTATTTATTTGAAAGAGATATATAGAAAGAAAGAGAGAGAGAGATCTTCCATCCATTATTTTACTTTCCAAATAGTCACTGGGCTAGGCCAAAGCCAGGAGCTGGGAGCTTCCTCTGGGTCTGCCATATGGGTGCAGGGGCTGAAGAACTTGGGCCATTCCCTGCTGCTTTCCCAGGCACTTTTCTGGGGGCTGGATTGGAAGTGCAGCAACTGGGACTTGGACTGGTGCCCATTTTATGGGATGTCAATGCCCTATTCTCTTTTTTGCACATCGGATTCATAACCAGAATCACACTTACTCCTGCCTTGAAGTCCATCCAGAACTCCTTGTAAAATATCTGGTCACAACACATAGCTTTGTGCTCTAAATTAGCATTTTGCAAACTATATCATTGTGTGATTCTAGGAGATAGTGTTCCAAAAATGTTCCTGTGGTCATTAAGTTTAAGAAAAATTACATATCACACTGTACTTTCTGGAGATTCACAGTGCACCTGAGCATAGTAATAGCTCAGAGGAATATTACAGTGTACAATCCTATTTAATTTTGTTTAAACCAATGCTTTCCAAATGTATTTTACAACAAAAAGCTTTCTTGAAGTAATTTCATCCACAGAGGCTGTATTCCACAGAACATGTTTTGGGAATTACAGTTCTTAAAGTAAATACTACATTCTCTATTTTTGCATGTACTGCTGTAAAACCAAATGAATTAGTTTCTTTAAAATGTTTCCTACTGATTTATTACAATGCTGAAGAAAATAAATATTTTCAAAACAACTATACCACTATAATAAATTATTTTATTCCTATTACTTTGCATTGCATTTCAACAGTAATATAATCAATCACTTGCTTAATCTATATTTATTATTAGGATCACTAGCTTCTCACTACAACATGGAGAGTTTTTTATTGAAACCATATTTTTAACATCATAATATTTCATGTGTGAAATTATACTTTTCTGTAACTATCCGGTGAATGAATAAATAAAAATAAATGATTTCTCTTTTAGAATAAATTTCTGTTTAAATGATTTTAATGACAGTCTTCCAGGAAAAAAAATGATACCTAAACTCAGGCAGTAGTGATTAGGTGGATTTCTGATGGATTTCTAAGTAGATTTGGCTATTGATTGGTTTGGGCAGTACATAGAACACAAAGTTGAAGATAATTAAAATTCCTAGCTTGTGGAGTTTGGGTGCTCATATTAACAATATTAACAGCTTTTTTTAAGGATTATTTATTTATTTGAAAGGTGGAGTTACAGATAGGGAGAGGGAGAGGCAGAGACAGAGACAGAGACAGAGAGGTCTTCCATTTGCTGGTTCACTCCCCAAATAGCTGTAATGGCCAGAGTTAGGCCAATCTGAAGCCAGGAATCAGGAGTTCCTTCCTGGTCTCTCATGTGAGTGCAGGAGCCCAAGTACTTTTGCCATGCTCTACTGCTTTCCCAGGCACATTAGCAGGGAGCTGGAACAGAAGTGGAACAGCCGGGACTTGAACTAGCACCCATATGGGACGTTGGTACCACAGGCAGCACTTTAACCTGTTGTACCAGAGTGCTGGCCCCTCCTAACAGCTTCTTTTAAAAATGCTGGAAAAGGAGAAGAGTTTATAGGTTAGGGATAGGGAAATAATGTGTTAAGTTATGAAAAATTGAAGTTTCTAAGTACATGTCTTCAACTTGAGTGTCCAGAATTCAGTTGAAGAATCAGAACTAAAGCTCAGAAGAGGTCAAGACTGGAGAGAAAGACCTGGAATCTTAGGTTTACATTGTAGTTGGCAGCATAGAAATCGCTGGTATCAGTTCCTGAGGGAGGAGAATGTGAAGAGAAAGGTACTGTGGCCACATAGTTGATGTGATTATTAGAAGATATAACATATATGAAAGCTCTTTGTAAACTACAAAGTCCCACACAAAAGTTATTATTATTAATTCCAGAGAATTCCTAAACAAATAGTTTTAAACTTGGCTTTTAGGAAGATATTGAACACCCAAGGAGTGCAGCTGACTGAATGTAACAGAAACTCCACTTCAGGGGCATGTTTTCTTAGATCACAGAAAGTAGGATTGTCAGAGCTTGCATGATAGTTTTCTAATACATCAATGCCCCAGGATCCTGTCACTGTGTCCCATCATCTTTGTGTGTGATTTTCATCTTGATCATCCCCAGATAGCAAGATGACTCCTCTAAGATCACTCCTATGTCTGTCATCCAGGGAATCATAAGAAATAGAAAGGGACAAAGAAGAAGCAACTGCACTTCTGTCAGGAAAGCAAACTTTATGATGATTTCCTACTAGATTCTCATTAGAACTTTTAGTTATGGGGTGAGTGTTTGGTGTACCAGTTAAGACACTGTTTGGGATCCGCATATCCCATATCAGAGTGCCTGGGATTGAGTTGGCTCTGCTTCCAATTCTAGTTTCCTGTTAATGTGCACTCTGGGAGGCAGCGGATGATGGCCTTGTCTTCCAGGGAGACCTGGATGGAATTCCCAACCCATGGCTTGGGACTGACCCAGCCCAGCTGTTGTGGGCATTTGGGGAATGAACCTGTGGATGGAAGATTCATTCTCTCTTTCCCTTTCAAATACAATAAGTGAAATTTTTAAAAAGTGGAGGCTGGCATTGAGGCATAGCAGATTATGCTGCTGCTTACGATGTGGGAGCAACAGTTAGAGTCCCAGCTGCTCTGCTTATCATCCAACTCTCTGCTATTGTGTCTGAGAAAGCAGTGGAAGACGTCTCAAATACTTGGGCCCCTGTTTTCCACTTGGGAGACCCTGAAACCTCCATCCAGGTCTCCCACATAGATGTCAAGGCAGAAGCCCCAGGACCCTCTTTTGCTGCTTTCCCAGGTGTATTAGCAGGGAATTGGAATTGCAAGTGGAGCAGCCAGGACTTGAACCCACCCTCAACTGGGATACCAGCATTGTAGGCAATCGTTTAATCTTCTGTACCACAATGCTGACCCTAGGAGAACTTTCTGACTCATTCTATGAAGGTAACTTTAGTCTAATTCCAAAATTGGACAAGGAAATTTCAAGAAAAGAACACTATAGGCCAATATCTCCCATGAACATAGATGCAAACATCATGAACAAAATGTTGGCAAATTGAATTCAACAATGTGTATGTCTCTTCTGCTTTTGATTTGTTGCCTTCAACAAATGTACAAAGAATAAGCAAATAAATAAATAAAAAGCACTGTAGTTATGGTCCTTCAGATTGCTGCTGCTGATCATTTTTTAAAGGTTTATTTATTTATTTGAAAATCAGAATTATAGAGAGAGAAAGAGAGACAGAAAGTGAGATCTTCTACCTGCTGGTTCACTCCCCAGGTGGCTACAATGGCTGGAACTGGGCCAGGCTTAAGCTAGGAGACAGGAGCTTCCTCCAGCTCTCCCATGTGGGTAGCAGTGGCCCAAGCACAAGGGCCATCTTCTACTGTTCTTCCTAGACTGTTAGCAGGGAGCTGGGTGGGAAGTGGAACAGCTGGGACTCACACTGGTGCCCATTCAGGATGGCTGCATTGCTGGTGAAGGCTTTACCTGCTACCCCATAATTGCAGCCCCAAATTTTCTTTTGGTATTTATACCCTTTTGTA